AATATAAGTAAAATATAAATATATCTATGAAAATAACTGCAGTGTTTTCCGACATTGATAAGATATGAAAAGGTGATTTAATGTGATAAGTACTTTGACAAATTTATCCAAAGAGTGTACTGTGCCGGATAAAATGTGAATATACGATCTGATTTCATGAGTATAAATATTTGTATGATATATGATAAAATTTGATAAAGAACTCAGCATTATTCGTTTGCCTAAAACTTGAATCAATTAAAATATCTTATTAAAATCACATATTTTGAAGACAACACTGCTTAAATCCAAGCAGCCATCCAACTCAAGCTTTTCGCTCAGTGTATGCAGTGGTTCTTGACAATCGTCGAAGTGGCTCTCGAAACGGGAACTGGCTGCAACTTGGATCTGGACTCACAAAAAAAAAAAACGAAAAAAAAACACTCATCAAGTCGGCTCCAGTTCATTTGTGAGATTCATAATAAAAACGAAAATTTGATATGTTTTTGTAAAATGAGATTTTTTGCGAAATTTAACAGACAGCAGAGGGGAGAACGGGAAGCGTAAAGAATGCTGGCAATTGCCAACTGTATCTGTCAGACACTTTGAGCAATAATTTAAATGGAATTTGAAAAATATATGTGTATATATATAGGAGTATATGGGGAAATGATTGCAAGAATGGGAAAAGGGTAAACGAGTAAATTCAGCAGCCATTTCAGCCATGACAAACCAGACAAAAAGTCCAACTTCAACTTCAACTCCATAATGACAAGAACAACAATAACAGACTGAAAAAGGCATAGAATTTCATTTTTTAATTAATTGATTTTTATTCGCATTTCGGTTTAGAATTTCAGCTGCTTGCAATGAGCGCAAGTTTAAATGTCGGGAGGCTGCCCAAGACCCCCGATTGCCCCTCATCCCTCTCCCACTTAGCCGGTTCCCCTCATCTGCAGGCAACGCAGCTGAGCTCCAAAACGAACGCACAAATCAGAAATTAAAAACCAAACATAAATTAACAGTCAAATGATATTAAAAATCCAACAACAAAAAGAGACACCAGAGCACACTAAGAGCGAGATAGAGCTACTGTGGCAGCTATAGAGACAGAGAGGGAGAGAGAGAGAGCGAGAGAGAGAGGGAGCGAGTAGGTATCATAAGGTAGAAATGATATGCTTACAACAAAAAAAAAAGAGCTAACAGCAAATGCGCCTCCGATTACCGCACAGTTGGACTTGGACTGCGAACTGAACCAAACTGAACTTGAGACGGACGGGCGTGCGTCTCCTTTGCCTATAAGTAAGCCCCTCCAGTCCGCCTACCGCCCGCCTCCTCCGCCGGCCAGCTTCCCCGTCCACTGCAATAAACCTCCACCACAGTCGAGGTCGCACCTGAGGCGTGTAATCGATATGCCTTGCAGCCAGTCACAAGATTTTTATCGTGCGAATTGTTAATACTCTACACAGTCAGCGAGACAAACAAAACCAGTCAATTTTACACTCAGAATAATCTTACATAAATCAAAGAGTAAATCTTGTCACATTTCGGTTAACAACAAAATTCTTTTTCATTTATTTATCATTTATATTGTGATTTATAAACAAATCAATATTGTTTAATTTACATTTGCACCTCTTACAAATAAACTCACATTTCTCACAGTGTGCCACTTGGCTAAGAGAGAGAGAGAGAGAGAGAGAGAGAGAGCGGCTTGGCCAGGGGGGGGGGGGGGGCAAAATTATGGCCGAGGGCTGAGAGCCAAGCGAGCGTGTGATCTTTTTCAAGACGTTGCAAGACTTTGGGGCAGACAGACTTACAGCCGCTGATTAGACGGCTTGCGCTGTGTCATCAAGTTGGCAGCGTCCGCTTTATCCCACTGTGCGTACAGTGGGCAGAGAGTGTCCACTGTCCAGTGTCCAGTGTCCAGTGTCCGGCGATGTATCGCATGACAAATGCCAAGCTGCTTATTGGGCAGCAGTTAGTTAGCAAGTCGCAAATCAGTCAAGTCACAAGGCATTGGCATAGATTTCACAACTTGTGATTCATTCATTCATTCAGTCGGTCGTTCCGTCGCTTTGGCAACCTATAATTATTTCACAATTTCTGTGGCATTTGGCAAATGCGAGATTTTGCCCAAAAATCTTGTCGTTTGCCACGCCCTTAAATTGCATGTGGTTGTTTTGTTAGCTTGTCTTGTCGCATTCAAACTGTCAACGACTGTGTCAACATTTTACACATGTCGTATGAGTAATTTATTTGAAGCATTCCTCAGAAGCACCAAAAATGTTCCCAGTAAATGTAGAAGGGGCACAGTGGCGAGTAGATAGAGAGGGAGTTCCTTAAACTTACTTTACTAGTAAGTAAAAGTTAATTTATCATTTTATCAGTTATGCCAAATATGGATTTCAGAAAAAAGGGTATAAAAATGTGAAATAATATAAAAAGTACAGCTGATTGAAAAATTATTTTAAAAATTATAATTTGTATTCTTCTTCTTTGAATAAATAATCAGTAAAAATATTCCATATATTGTTTTAAAATATACAAAGGATATTTTCTATATCTTTTGCAATGAATCACCCTTTTCGCTGCAGGCCCCCTTTCGGTAACGCCACTGTCCTTAGTTCTGTCCCGCCTTATTTGACTGTTGCAGTCAGCAACAACAACAACAACAGCAACAATGAAAACAACATCGACGACGACTTTGAATATGAGAATTTCAATGTAATTTGATATGTCTTAATGCAGTTGCTGCGTAGCCTTGTGTGAAATTTACGTATATCCATACAGAGCACACACACACACACACACACACATACATTCATGTAGATATATCATTTTGGTTTGTTTCATTTCAAGAAACGAGAAACGAAAACCCAAACAAACTTTAAAAGCCGCAAAGAACTTCGACTCCAACTTCAACTCCAACTCCGACTCTGATCTTGCTTTTGTGTGGCACACATTGTTGTTGAATTTTAAAAGAGTATTGTATGCAAAAAGGCAACTCTCATACACACACACACACACTCGCACACACTCGCACACCCTCGATGCATATCAATATCAAGCACAGCATCTGAGAAAGGGGGAAGGGTTGAGGGTTGGTGAACTGCAGCTGGCAAAAGGCACATATCCCATTGCAAAGAAGAGCATGCAACAACAACAACAACAACAACAGCAACATAAACGACTTAAAGGATTATGCCTGCAAATGTTATCCATATACCCCAAAAAAAAACTAGTCAATGCCTTCCTGTCCCCCACACTCCGTCCTTCCATGATAAACTTTATTTTTGTGTGTGTTAATTGATATGCTTATGCGAGTGTGTGTAACACACTTGTGTGTGTGTGTGTTTCGGCAAGTTTCATCAAAGTTATTAATTACAAATTTAGCCATAATTCATTCCACAACGCTTTACGCAACATTATTACACATTTAAACAATTTTAAAAAGCAATTTGAAATGCACAAATGCTTCAATTACCAATTAATATATTTTCTATTTAACGTCCGAAAAGCCATTCCATTTGTCCATTTGTACAATTTATTGCTAAAGAAAATATATATAATATAATAATATATTTATATATGATAAATTGCACATAACTTTAAAAAATGTTTTTTTTTTTGAGCAGAGAAAGCTAAATTTTTGCTAAACTAATTCCGATGAATTCTATTGTTTTTTGCTACTTTTAAAAAAATATAAAATAAATTCAATTGTATAAAGTTAAAATCATAATTGATCTTGTGAAAAGATTCGTTTTGATTACAGAAAGAAAGAGAGAGAGAGAGAGAGCTAAGTCAGTCAAGCAAATATAAAGTTATATTTATAATATGATATCTTTTTGTTAGAGAAAGTGAAAGTGAAATTTGGTTTTTGTTTATTATTTGAAGCTTAAGTCATTAAGAACACTTATAATAATAATTTATATCATCCATCTATGAAGATTGCTTGATTGATTGATGAGGAACACAGCGGAAATATTATTAACTTTTATCCAAATGCAACTTTCTATCTTAAACTATTCGGATTTCCTTTTATTATTTTATTGTCTACAACTTTTAAATGTTGCTCGCACTCTTATCAGATAATTAATAAATGCTATATATATTTAATACCCATTTAAATATCATGTGCTGCAAGAATATATGCTTATTATTAAGCTGCTACCGCAAGGGCAACATAATGCGGTTGCATGCAACAAGAAGTAGGAGTTACGATTATGCGGCTCACTGAGTTGCACCTGCAGCAGCAATGTTGCATGTAGATAGCGTTAAGAGCTAGCTAGGGAGTATTATGTTGCCACAAGATACTCGTTCAGCTGCCTGCCTGCCTCTTAACTATCTGTCGATGTGCCAAAAATGTGAGAATGTTGTCAGGCGGCTATTGAATGACACGAGCCACTTTTGGCTGACTATTTCCATACGCTCAGCCCTTTGAAAATGGCCTAAAAAAAGGTTGTGCTAAAGTTGGCAACAGAAGGAAGAATTTTCGAGCATTTTTCATTTGCCTCTCAGATCTGAGAAACTAGAAGAGCTGTAAAACATAGATTCTCGGTTCAGTTTATTTAATATAAACGATAACTATATCGTTATGGTTATCGATCAAAATCAATTACGGATAATTATATAAGCTATACTTTAAATATATACATTTTTATAGCCTTCTAATTGAGTTTGAATATACCTTGACATTAATATAATTATCTGTAGAACATTAGTCAAGCAAAGAAACGAAAAACGAATTTTTCATCAGGTTATTTTTAAAATCGAGGACTTGTGCTTAGGGTATCCCCTAGTCGAGCACTTTCAGTGAGAGCATTCTTCCTTTTCTTTATTTTTTGCATTTTTTGTGCGATTGTCGTAACTGAAACTGTGTCAGCATTCGGCTGAATTGCGTCCGTCACCTTATATCATTGGCATGCCTATCAAAAAAGGAACAAAAACGATGAGTTAATCTTTTGGCAACTGCTTCTGTTTCTGATTCTGTTTCTGTTTCGGTTATCATTTCGTTCCAGGAATTCGCGCAGCATACAATGAACGAGTTGCTCGGCTGGTATGGCTTCGATGGCGTCGATGTGGATCGACTCGACCTAACGGCAAAGACATCCCGATTGCTACAAAGTGCTGCTGCTGTCGCAGTGGCAACGCAACACCAGCAACAGCAACAACAACAACAGCAGCAGCAACAACAACAACAACAGCAGCAACATCGCAGTTATTTGCGCAGCAGCCGCAGCAGCACTTTAGCCTACAATAACAACAATAACAACAACAATAGCAACAGCAACAACAACAACAATAGTAGCAGTAACAGCAACAGCAACAATCGCAAGTCGAGCAATTTGAACTGTCACAGCAATACGACAACACCCTCGGATCACGATACACGCAGCTCCCGCGAGGATGACTCCAAGAGTCCCCACTCAATTGGCAAACCGACTGCGACAACATCGCATGCCGAGGAGAAAATAGGTGAGTGCTGAAGCCAATCAGCTATGCTTGACTAGCATATACCCTGCTTTCACACACTCTCCTTTTAGTAGCTATCAAAATAACTGTATTTATTACTATCGTAGCTAAATCTTATTATATAAAGTCAAGGATAACTACATCAATTTCTTCTTTAGATTGCAATTGTAAACAGAACAAGAACATTAACTACTTTTTAAAACCACTATTGCAATTGTTGTTTATCCAGGACAGGGTTTTTCTTTGCCTAACCAGCGTTGCCCTTTTTCTGTTCACAAGTATATTAAATGTATCTTCCAAAATATATATGCTCAAATAGGTCTTCTGCCCAGACAGCACAAGTCAATCAAAGCCTAAGTTTGTAGCCCTTTGATGGCTGCAGCTTATTTAGCTGGACAACTTGATAGCTGTAGAGCCAAAAATCAGAATCAAAATCAAAAATTCTGTTGCCTCAACGCTGCTGCTTTCGTTGCTATTGCTGCTGTTGTTATTGATATTTGTTGCAACTTGATAAGTTCGACTTGTGCCCGGCATGGGTGCAGCACTCGCCTGAATCCCTCCACCCCTCCAACCGCCTTTAACCCAGCAGCCAGTAGCTAGTCAGTCATTATGCAGGCAGACAGCTTTGAAACTTTGCTAGCTTTGGCATCAACTGGTTGGGTTTAACAGATTTTTTTGTTGTTGTTGGTTTTCGGCTGCTGCTCGATTTTGCTGCATTATCGAATAACAGATTCATTAAGACCCAAATATGGCTTACAAGTTTTTAAAAAAAATTAATACCAAATATTCAGTGAATGAATGCGGTAAGCGAAGGGTTGATTCTGCAGCAGAAAGGGGGCAAAGGGCAGACTACTGGGTAACAGGCAGCTAAGTGAAAGTTAAAGGATTTTTTTTGTTTTATGGATATGCTGCACGAAAGAGGAAGCAGGCATTGAATAGAGCTGTAGTTAAATGAAATCCATAATCAAATTAGTGGACTCGTGAAGCACAAAATGAAATGAATGATAGCAAAATTATAAAATAGATATTGAAATATTGATGTAAAACTGGGAAATTTCTAATGATACCCAAAATGCTGAAACCCAACTAAAAACCATGCACACACCAAGCACACTTAGAGATATTCAAAATGAGCTTTGATTAATTTTGCAGACTACAACAACTGTTGCTGGTGTCATCGACCTATTGCGGAGAATGCACCGGATTATCTGACCAGCAGCGATGGACCACGTTACTGTTCCGAGTCCTGTTTCGGGCAGAGCCGTCGGGCGTCCTTCAAGAAGGCTAAGACATGCGACTGGTGCAAGCACGTACGGCACGCCGTGAGCTATGTGGACTTCCAGGATGGGGCTTCGCAGCTGCAGTTCTGCTCGGAGAAGTGTCTCAATCAGTACAAGATGCAGATCTTCTGCAACGAGACGCAGGCGCATCTCGACATGAATCCCCATCTGCGCGACCAGGGACTGGACAACGACAAGGCAGCACTGATAACGCCCGATCTCTGGTTGCGCAATTGTCGCAGTCGCTCCGCCTCGCCTGCGTCCACAATATCGGTGTCGCCGGGTCCAACTGGAGCAGTTAGTGCAACAGTTGCAGCAGCAGCTGCAACAACCGCCTCGAAGCGCAGCTCGCCATGTTTAACGCCGCCCAGCAAACCTCTGATCTCAGTGGCACCCGCCTCCAAGTTGCTGGCCCAAAAGACGCCCATCTCTGCGCCCGTCTCCGCTCCAACTGCATCTGCACAACAGTTGCAACGCCAGCATGGACTGAGTGCCTCGAAACCAGGCCGCCGCAAGCGTTCTCATCGTGCCGTTGGCTCCGAGACCGTTGCCAGTCTGCTACAGAAGCAGCAACAACAACAACAGCAGCAGCAGCAATCACCGTCGGCTCCACTCAGCGTTGACTTTGCCAGCAGCAGCGTGCCACTGCCACCGCTATCACCCATGCAGGAGCAGCAGCAGCAGCAACATCATGCTCAGCTGCCACATGCCCAGCAGCAAAATGCCCAGCAGCAACATGCCCAGCAGCAACATCCGCCACAGCAGCAGCATCCTCCACCACTGGGTCGACCGCCCACCAGTTTGCCAGCCAGCTACTTTGCCACACCTCCAAATGGGTTGCATGTGGTGCATCCTTTCGGCGCACGATCCGCAGCAGCAGCAGCACATCCACCACCACCACATCCATTTCTTGCACCACCTCACGGCATGTTGCCGCGTGGCTTTGGTGGCCACTTTGCAGCACCACCACAGCTTCAATTTCCACAGCAGCCGCAGTTGCCACAGTTGCCGGAGTTGCAAGGAGCACTGGGTGCACTGTTGGGTGCGGCACCACCGGTTACGGTGATGGTGCCATATCCGATTATAATACCGCTGCCCATACCAATACCCATACCATTGCCCATTGTGGATTTTTACAAGGCGCACTTGACGCCGGAGCAGCGCAAGCATTACGAGGAGCAGCGCAGGACGGCAGAGGAGGAGCACCAAGAGCCACTTGACTGCAGTAAGGCCAAGCCAGAGGAGCAGGTGGAGCAGGGGGCGAGGGAACAGGACGAGGGAGAGCTAGAGGAGGAGCGGGAGAGCGAGCAGCAAGAGGAGAAGGAGCAGAAGCTGAAGCAGGAGCAGGAGCTGAAACAAAAGCAAAAGCTCGAAGTGGAGCCAGAACCGGAGCCGGAGCACGAGCGGGAGCGAGAGCAGGAGCAGGAGGAGGAGCTGCAATCCATACCAAAGACAACGCCAGCGAGGACAACGCCATCACCATCAGCATCGCCATCGGCATCGACATCGGAATCGCAATCGCAATCGCCCACTGCTGATTCGTTGGAGACGACGCACTGTATCGTGTTGCCAGAGGCGGCGGACGCGGTGGAGGCGACGACACAAAAGCTGCCCATACTGAAGATAACGCGACTACAAAGCAAACGCACACTAATCCAGACCAAAGAGACCACGCCCACATCGCCCACATCGGGGGGCAGCAACAGCAATAACAGCAGCAACAACAGCAGCAATAATAGCAGCAACACCAATAACAGCGGCAACAGCAATAACAGCAGCAGCAACAATAACAGCAGCAGTGCTGCGGCAGCGGAATGTAGTCGACCGTTGCGCAAACGCAAGCGAATTATCGATTGTGATTTTCAGAAAATGGCCACAGTCGAGACGCACAACAACAATAACAGTAACAGCGCGGGCAGCAGCAGCCATAACAGCAAGCAGGAAGACGAAGACGTGTGCAATATGAACAGCAACAACAGTGCTAAAGCTAAAAAAAGTAGTAATTAGGCTAAGCAAAGAAAACGTACTAAAGTAGTAGCATTAGTAGTAGCCCTCTATAAAAAATAGTAGTATATATTTATATAAATATTAAAAAAAAGTGTGCGTGCTGACTTAAAAATACTTTTAATAATTATAATAAAATGTAGTAGCACATAGTGCGGGCGAAATTTGAATTTAATTGAATGAATAAATTATTAAATTATGTATTTACAACATCAAAAGGTGCAGTGTTTGCAATAAATAACAATTATTAGTATTGTCGAAATAACATTTTTTCGTATTCGGTACAAAGTGATAACAGAACTGCATCAAATTAAAAGTTCCTTTTGGGAAACTAACAGCAACAGCGTTGCCAACTAATTCAGCAAGATCACCGTTGAGCTACACAAAGCTGACAGCTATAACAAGGCGAACGTTTTAAATTCAGTAAATTTATTTTTATAATTTTATAATTAAATGCAAATAAGCTACATAATATACAGAAATGCATATAGAATGAAATCACAATGGGCATTTTGAGAAGCTCTCATCATCCAAGACCCTGTAGCGATGATTGCGATAAGTATCCAATTCGAAAATATATTTCTTACCGCAATCCTTCATCAACTTTAAAATAACCGGCTTAATATTCTCAATGCCCGTCATATTTGCCAGCTCATTGTAATAATCAAACTAGAAAAATGTAAGAGGAGTTTAATTGGATTTTGTTTAAATATATGTATACCATTTCCCACCTGTCGTTCGCCCATTTGATGGGCCTTCTTGCGATTGGGATAACCACATGCCCAACGCTCTCCTTGCTCCTTCTCCAGTTCCGCCAGCATTTGCTCCCTGGTTGGCAACTGTCGCTGGCCCGTGTAGAATTTCAGGGTGAATCGCACCTGCATGTCGAAGATGTGCGTCGGTATCACATTGAAGGGCAGTCCAATGAACGACATTGTCGGATTATTAATATTGATGCAGTGCTTCCACAAGGGTTGCACAAAATTATCAATCACTTGGATGCCCACATCGGTGCTCAGACAGGGAAAACTATAATGATAGCCAGTGCAATGGACAACATGATCGAATCTCTCCTCGCTGCCATCCTTGAAGATGGCACCCCCTTTGGTGAATCGTGCCACATCCGGTTTCTGTGTCACATTGCCCATAAATGTGGTATTCGGTGTCATCGACAGATGATGACTCAAATAGACATGTTTGGCCTCAACTCGAATGTGATTTGTGATATCCATGCCACTGGGACCAGCGCCAATGATTAAAACTGTCTGATCTGCAGAGATAAAGGTGGGTGAAAAATATATATAGATAACTGCAGATTATAATGTTTAAAACTATCTGATCTATCTATCTATCTATCTATCAGAGATTGAGTTGTCTAAAGAATGGCATAGATAGTTTTAGATTATAAGCGTGAAAGCTTAAAGTTGTCTGGTGTTGAAGAACATCAAATACATATATAAAAAGATAAGGATAATTGAAGATAATAAAATACACACTAAGAAGACGATTAATTAACAATCATTCAAAATATTAAATTAATCTTTCATCCAACTATTCTTATCAAAAGTGGTAAGTGTATGGAAATTATTCCACGACAATGTCAGACCCTTGATTATTTCGTCATTATTTATGAAAACGACAACAAAATGCCAGACTGTTGCTAGACAAAAATTGAAATGATTCCGCACATGCGGAAACGCAATCTTATCTTTAGTAGTAGCTTACTCAAAATTCATGCAATCTTGCGATTCATTCTCACCTTTAAATTTGTCAGCTTTGCGATATAGATGGCTGTGAATTTGTTTGCCCTCATAGAGATCCATGCCCTCGATTTGGGGCATATCTGGTTCCGTATAGTGGCCATTGCATACATATATAAAATCATAATAGATCGGATTGCAAGTATCGTTGATGTGATCCCAAACATAGACCTGCATAAAAACAAAAGCAACGAAAAAAGATCATTACAAAATGCATTACATTTAATCACAAAGACGCGCTCAAGTAAACAATAACAATATTTTATTGATGGAAAGCTCATTGCCAATGTGTCAATCACGTCAGCACTCACCTCCCAATCGTTTAAGCGGGGTCGCACCCTGATGACCTCGTGTTGCAACTTTATGTGCGGCAACAAGTTGAAGTGATTCGCATAAGATCTCAGGAATTCCAATACTTGCTGCGATGTTATGAAGGACTCGTCAATCTCTGTGGGATAAGGGTAGTCCGGATAACCCATAACTTCCTTGGGCAAATTTGTGCTGTAAAATATGCATACAAATACAGTGATTATATTATATTGTTTTATAATAGGTGTTTGCTTTTTAAACAATCACATTTTTGCTATGCATAATTTACATTTAAAAAGCTTACATTTAAAAAGCTGCCTCATTTTAGTAAACAAACGTATTTTAGTTGTGCTTCCCACTTTAAAGATTACAAAATTATTATTACATTGTTTGACTTTTCAAAACAAAATTCTAGTTGACTTTGGGGTTAGACTAGGAATAGGATTAATGGACAAATGCCTGATAAGAGCTGTAGTTTTTCAAGAGTCTAGTTAACTTAAAGTTATTCAACAAATCTCTATTTATCAAGAGCATACTTAAATTAAGTTCCTTAAAAAATATCAAAGCTGCACTTAATACGTAAAAAAGGATAAGAAGAGATAAAGAAAACTGGTCAAACTAGTTTTACCCTATTATGCAATTAATCTTTTGTATGGTCAAAAGAGAATTTCTTGTGTTTTAAACACACAAAATATATTGTTTGCTAAACCAAGACACTTATGAGGAATATTTGTTGGCTAATTTAATTGGAGACCTACCGCAATCCCTCGTACATGCTGCTGTGCACCTCGTCGTACTCATCTTTGGGCATTTTATCCGAGAATATCCATGTGCCACCGATTTCGGTGCCCTGCTCGTAGGCGACTGCCTCCAAGCCCTCCTCCAGTGCATTTTTCAATGCACTTAATCCAGCGGTTCCGGCTAAAATATATATATCGTATAATCCAATTTACATTTTATTATTATATTTATGTACCTCCAATAACGCACACGCGACGCAACTCGTTAATTGGAGTCTTGTGCATTTTCACAAATTAATTTCTTTTACGTTCACTGAGCAACTTGTTTAATTTACTTTGCTTTACTTGACTTCACTTCAATGATACGTCTCTTCAGCTCTCTGGTTGATAAGTGACTGACTAGGTCGATCGTTCAAATTCCATACTCTGGAGCTTAAAATGTATTCAAGCTATCAGCGAGCTGGATCGCTTTGCACACGATTTAAAGTGCCTTTTGTGGGTCTCTTTAGTTTACAGCTCGCGTTTGAGACACTTCTGAAATGCTTGTGAGTTGGACTTTTAAGCTTAGCATTATCGTTAACTTAATAGCTTCTGTTAAGATTATTCGGTAATCTTTGAAGACTGTGAATTTTTATTGCCGCTTAAGGACATAACGCAATTTGATCTATATTTTCTTTTAATATTTTGTTTAGCATTATTCCATAAATAATATATGGTTTTATTAAATATTTATTTCTTCGCTTACTAACATTTATATATATCTAGTCCAACCTTTAATTTATCAATCAAAAGTTACGATTTTTTAACATTTTTGTGTTTCGTAGCGCATTACAGAGTCGACTCGAGCGGGGTGAAAATTGAGCAGCTGTAAGCACTTGTTACGCTACAAATCACATAACAGAAACGTCAACGTCTGCGTTTGCAGCTACGTCAGCGTCTGCGTCGCTGTGAATGAATATGCTTTCCCACAACTAAAAAGGAGAAACACGGAAACACGGAAGGCGTTTTTTTGCTGCTGCTCAACACAGTTCGAGTTGATGCAGTGTAACTATTGCTATGCCCTCTGCTGTGCTCGCAGATAAGAACTTAGCCGGCTGACAATTTCCAGTATATACTTGACTATCTGTCTTTCTTTTGAGCACACTCGTGATTAGAGTTTTCCCCTCTTTTCTGGCGTTTTCTTTTACAATTATATATACAAAAATATGATTATATATAGGGAATTGTAAGTCATTGTGTCATTTCAGTTTATTAGCATACTTAATACGCAATTATCAGGGAGAAGTGCTAAACAATGATCTGTTGTAATTTTTAAAACAAATAAAAAGTAACAAGACTGCTTTAGTCGAGTGAGTTCGACTACGATATTCCCTGGACTAGAGATGTTACATATTTATTTATTTAATGTCAACTAAAGTCAGTCAATCCCAAAAAAAAGATGCAAAATAATAGATTAAATTAAATTTTAATTAAAAAAAAGATAAATATCTTAGATTAAGAATATATATTCTTTATGGGGTCGCAGATGCTTTCTTCTGTCTGTTACATACACTCCGTCAGTATCATTATACCCATTTCAAATAGGTGCAGGGTATTAAAAGTAGCTCAATTTCTCGTATGAAAAATGTATGAAATTTAATAAATTGCGAAAGGATATTTCTGTGTACAAAAAGAAGGAGCTTAACTGGAAATTTAGATACGCCCAAAAGCTGATAATCCCCATCTGATCGTCTCATTCCTCAAAGTGCTCAAAGAACATCTCCGAGGCAAAGTCATCCTCGAAGCAGCGATATTGTGTCGCCGCTTGGGATTGAGATTGGGATGACTTAGTTGACTCCGCTGTTGCCGTCGCCTGCTGCTGCTGCTCCTCTGTTTGTGGAGGCAACTCCAATTGGGTGCTGGTACTCGACGGTTCACAGTGCCTGGGTGCAGTGCGTCGTTCGCGATTCAACTGCTGCTTGTTGTCCACCTCATAGTCGCACTCCTCATCATCGGCCTGCTCCATGGAGGAGGAGGGTTGGCAACAGCTGCAACGTTCATCGCTGTCAGCGGCCTGCGCCGGATTGTTACCCACGACGGCGCCAATCACATTGCGCAGGACACGGGAAGCGGCCTCCTGCATTTGAGTGATTAGCTCACGGGCGGGATGCACTACGTCCGCGTCCGCTTCGAGTGCGCTGCAGGTTTTACCCTGCTGCGGCTGCTTCTGCGGCTGCTGCTGTTGTCTGCTTTGTGGATTCTCTTCGCATTGGCAACTGCGACGATCTTGGCCACCACCAGAGGGAGGTGATGGTGGTGGCGGCGGCGGATCCTCCTTTTCCCGCAGTCGAACGCGTTCCCTGCAAATGGCACAATCCTTCTCCGACTTCTCTGGTTTCTCTGGCTTCTGAGCCTCCCCGCTGGGCTCCAAATAAGGCTCATCCAAAGTCGCCTCAATTGCTACATCCTGTGGCTTCGGTACGTCCTTGCCGCGACGCACGCGATAAACCAAATAGATGAGCGCCATTGTCGCATAGGTTGCCTTGGCGACCTGGAAGAGAGTGAGGAGTGGAGTACAGTAGCATTAGCCGACACAGATTCCGACTTACATTCGCTCGTCCGGCGATTGTGGTGCCATTGAAATACTTCTTGAATCCCTCGGCCATCGCTTCAGCTTAAAGTGTCCCAATCTCTATGTTTAGGTCTGGTTGGGTCTGGTCCGGGCTTGCTTTGAGAATTTCTGTCGTTTCTCAGCTTGCTGCTAAATGAATATTTTAGAAAATACCTACTTGATTTTGATATGGATTAAAAAGTATATAGATGTAAGAACAAAATAACTAAGGAACTTGCCATATCATTGCAGATCAACAATATTATATTGTGATTTATACATTGTTGCCCTGTCTGAGAGAGGATCAAGATAAATGTAATAACAATAAATATGCGTGTATGATTTATAAGAGATAAAACAGTTATGCCACATTAAAAATACATTATTTATTACCTTGTTTGAACTAAAAACGAAGGCAGCTCAACAAATTTGCTGTTAACAAATACTAATCATTATTTCTATTAAGAAAGTGTTTATTGCGTAACGTCAGACAATATATAATATAATCCGCAAACACTGATAAGAACATTGATATTCTGATCACAGACACAGCAGACAATAAAAAAGAAAAACAAAAACAGCACTTTGACATCTCCAATTTTGTTGTTGTTTAATAAAAAAGGGAGGCAAACTTGCCACACGCACAAGAGACTAAATTTCAAATAAATGCAACAATTCCATGCTTAACTCTGAACAGAATCAATTAGCTTTATACAATTACATACATATACATATATATATATAGCGATCTTTACAATTTGCCAGTGAGCTCGGGCACAGCGTTGAATAGATCTGCGACGAGGCCAATGTCGGCCACCTGGAAAATGGGCGCCTCGGGATCCTTGTTGATGGCTACAATTGTCTTCGAATCCTTCATGCCAGCCAAATGTTGAATGGCGCCCGAAATGCCCACAGCAATATACAAGTCGGGTGCCACAATCTTGCCCGTTTGTCCAATTTGCAGATCATTCGCCACGAAGCCGGCGTCGACAGCGGCACGCGAGGCACCAACAGCGGCGCCAAATTTATCAGCCAGATCGTAGAGCAGCTTGAAATTATCGCCCGACTTGAGGCCACGTCCGCCCGAGATGATCACCTTGGCGCCGGTCAACTCCGGTCGATCCGATTTGGTCAGCTCCTGCGACACAAATTCACTCAGCGCACTGGCATAGTCACCAGCGGGTGCCTGCTCCACAGCGCCACTGCCTCCACTGGTGGCTGCTGGTGGGAAATTTGTGCCACGCACTGTAATCACCTTGACGGCATCCTTCGACTTGAACGTGAGTATTGCGTTGCCCGCGTAAATGGTGCGCACAAAGGTGTCCTCTGACTTGACGTCGATGATCTCCGAAATGGGCGACACATCCAACTTGGCGGCGACACGTGGCAGCACGTTCTTGCCAAAGGCAGAGGCTCCAGCCAAAATGTGCGTAAATTTAAATTGCGATTGGGCGGCGAGGACCAAAGGAGTCAACGATTCCGCTGTGAATCCTTTGAAGGCGGCATTCTCTGCTACCAGCACCTTGGTGACGCCCTCAACCTTGGCTACAGCTTCCGAGGCCTGTTAAATTAAATTTAAAATTGATTATGCAAACAGCAAAAACAACAACTGAAGAAAAGAAGAGAAAATTAATTACGGGTCCGCATTTTGTGCCTGCTACGAGAACTGTGACGTCACCGCCGATCTTCTTGGCCGCCGTAATTGTATTGAGCGTCAGCGGATTGAGTGCCTCATTGTTGTGCTCTGCCACCACCAAAGTGCTCTTGCAGCGCTGCAACTAATAAATAATAGATAAATAAATAAATGGATTATTTAACAAGTCCAAGAAAAACGATCGCCATTTTTTGTATTATTTTACTCACAAAGCTGCTGCGCACCAAATTGCGTGTGTTGTTGGCAAACATGTTGTGTGTATGCTTAGAGCGAAAACTGTTTAAAGAATAAGTTATATTTAAAAACAATTAACTTAAATTAAGCTGATAATTTACCAGCCACAATTCCAATCGCAGAAAGTCCAAAAGTCGTTCGCGTTTTGGTAATTTTTAGCTCATTTTAGTTAACAGACTTTAGCATAGTGGCAACGCCAACACATGTTTGAGTTAACAGCGCTAGTCTATTGGCAACATCAAATCATCTGTTTACCATATAAATGTGTGTGTGAAAATAAAATAACACGCGGAATTCTTGGTAAAAATTTGTTTGCTTTTTCGGCTATGAATTCTAAATATTAAACAATTGTAATTAGTTAACACAGCATAAACATGGGCAAAGGCATACCAGATCGGTGAGTATGCGTGTGTTTTTAGTATGTTTGTGTTTGTGACTTACGCATTTTATTCCTTGTGCAATTGCAGCTGGCTTAATTATCAGCCAATCGGCAAACGCATTTCCGGCACTCGATTTATTGCATTCAAAGTGCCGCTGCGTGAGGTGAGTCCATCCCCCCTTTCCCTACATATCTCATAAACAGGTTAACAGGAGTTGCAACTATAGCAAGGAGGCAGCCGAAGACTAAATTGTGTTGTTGATTGATGTTGAAATGCGGACCACCGGCAAAGGCGCCCGCTAAAAATAATCAACAATAACAGCAACAGCCACTGTTATCTTCGGTTTGACGAAGTTTGAATACCCTTGCTGGAAGTGATATACCTATGAGCTTATATCTGAGAGTGCATAAATATTTGTTGCATAATAACACAAGCAATATGCTGAGCTTTGTGATATTGTTGCGCGCCATTAACCCTTTGAAGACCATTGCGAATTTCGCGACGTTAACCCATTGCTCAATAGTTTGTTTTTTAAATTAGCTCATTTCAATTTTATTTTTATTTATGTGTATGCTTATAGTCTGAATGATATAACCTAATATATTTTTTAGTAATATATATACAGTTAATGAGGTCTCCCTAAAATGTTGCTAGCATATCTCATCCCTAAACTGAAATACGCACTGCAAGGGTATACAAAAATAGGGCCAAGCAGGCGAATTTTGTACGCCTTGCAATTATGCATAAAAGTGGCAAGTTGTACATGATGTTGCACACACACAGGCAGGAGCAGGACAAGCAAGTGGACCCCACGCAGCCGTCTTCTGCATGAATATTAAATTAAATTGTTTTTGCTTAATTAAATAACGCAACACAGCAGGCACAACTCCTTGCTCCTTGGCAGTTTATTAATTGTTCCGCCTCTGGCAGCATAAAATTGAGCAATTTCAGCATGTTTTAAATATGTTGCACATATTTACTTTATATTTTATTTTGTATTTATTTTTACAGAATATCAATAAGAACGTCGACGAACAGCTACGTCTGGCGCCGTACTCTTTGCTGGAGACGGTGCCAAATTTGGGCCTCATCGTTGATCTGACCAACACAGATCGCTACTACGATCCAAGGGCAAGTATAACTCTGATTCGTGCTTTAAAAACCTGATATACTAATGTTGTTCCATTCGTGCAGGCTTTTGAGGATGAGAATGTGAGGCATCAGAAGCTGTGCATACCCGGACATCACACGCCGCCCAAGGAGCTGGCAGAAAGGTGCGTCCGTTGGGGATTCTTAGACTTGATTTAGTTTTACTTACTTAGCTTTATTTATATATATATTATGTACTTATATTTATATTTATTTATTTCAGATTTTGCGAGTATGTGAACAACTTTCTGGAGGCAAATGCGGATAATGGTAAGTGCATAAATTATTTTGTCAAACTGCTAACGCCTACACACACATTTGTAACTGTGCCGTGGGAACGCTTTCCCCTCGATCAGCCAAGTCAGATCCAGATGCATATCTCTCAGCACACAATTAGTGCTCGAAAATATGCAAAGAAATTATCTATGTAGATAGGTAGTGCAGTGCCGCATTTTTAGATGCCTATCAGCACTGCGAACAACTATGTGTATAGACCACAACTATTTAAACTCTTTAACAACAACCTGATGCACAAAAGTGGGCGGGTTGCATTTTTGAATACCCCTTTAATCTAGACTCTACAGTTAGTTCCCAGGCCTCGAGTTTCTGGAGCCCAACAAGCAATTTAGGCGCCAGCAAAGAAAAGAGAAAATGAAAATGCATTTCTTATTATAATACACCCAAACAAAAACAGGCAAATGGGTAAAGCAAGTAAGCGAATTTTAGCATATCCATTAATATTAATATTAATTTTCATTATATGTTTTATATATATTATATGTGTATATACATTAAAAGGAAGCTAGCTAAAAGATCAAATAAAGTTTAGCTGTTGGCAACAGTAATACTCCAACTGGCGCCGTTGTTGCGTGTTTTGAAAACTGCCAAACGAATTAAACGCGAAATGTCGGCAAACATGTTTACAACTCAAGAGATCCAGAAATATATTTATATGTGTATATAAGTCAAATTCAAGGTGGTCGGCACTTGTCAAGTTTGCAGGCATCGTTTTTACCCACAGTGGGCATAAACTAGAAATTATTGTGCATAGTTTTCTTTTTGGTTCAAGTTGTTCTATTAGTTTCTAATCTAATTATTGATATCTAATAGATATATCTAAAAAATAAGACTATGGTTTTTAATTGAAGAGTGTTTATTTCAAGCACTTCGATACATTCTGATTTTGGTTTCTATCTGAATTTTAGCTTCACTCTCATTATTTATGTTCAGCATTTAAACCAAACAATTGAATCTTTGACTGCCAAAGCATATTAAGCTTAACCTTCTCACTGATATATGAATTTTGTTGAATGGTTAATCACGTTGCCCATTGTGCTCAACATTGCGACAAGGATGTTGTTGCAGTTGTTGTTGTTGCTGTTGTTGGTGCTTAGCTCTCAAGTTGTAACTTGGCTTAAATGGAACGCAACAAACATGACGTACAACTGGCAGCTTCTGCCCGCATAGCGCACCACCACAAAACGACTTTTGTATCCTGCCCCACCGCCTGCTCCGTTCCCGGCCCCGCTGCCACCTGAGCCTTGCCTCGACCGTCGACATGTTTTTTTTTGTTTTGTTGTTTTGCAACAAAATTTATAGCCAATGTTATACATATTGGCAGTATGCGCTGTTTGCCGTTTGCCGTTTGCCAGATTTAGCCCAGGTCGTCGCTGCTGCTTCTGCTTTTATGCCAATTGCCTCCTCTTCCTTTCCTCCCCCTCAGCAGCCAAAAGCGTAGCCGGTTGTGGCCACTCTTGGCGTGGGCGCTGCTCAACGCATTCCTGTGGCTCTCTTTGCATTGAAATTTGTAGCAATTTGTGGCAACATGCCTCAGTTAAATGCTTTCTCTGCTCCATATAAAGTAACCAAGCCCAGTAACCAAAATAAAGCCCAGACTAGCGAGGTATTCCAAAACGAAATGATAGTTGATTAAATGTTTCAAATAGATACGAATTCTAGATATGATTAAAGAATCGACACAGCAATCACATTACAATAAACAAAAATAAAAAGTAATAATAATAATCAAAAATAAATAAAAAGCAAAAGGAACTCCCAACTCCACTCCACAGACAAGCTAATTGGCGTGCATTGCACACACGGCGTGAATCGTACCGGTTACCTAATCTGCTACTATATGATCCTCAACATGAACATGTCGCCAGCCCTGGCCATAAAGAGTGCGTAAAAAAAAACGAAAAAAATAACAGAAAAAAAAGAAGGAAGTCTTTTAATAATTACGATTTCAATTTCGACTTGTAGCTTTCGCAGAGGCGCGTGGACACCAAATTGAGCGTGAGAACTACACCGACTCCCTGCAGCAGCTACAGAAGTCTAATCGAAGAGATCATCACTCCGACTACCAGCACACAAATGATGATAATGACGAGATCAGCAGTCACAATCATAGGCAATCCGAATACCAGAGAACACCGGCTGAGCGGAGAGAGTATTATCAACGCAGCAGAAGACAGAGTCAACACAGTAGTTGGCGGCAGCCAAGTTATCAATCTCGCAATTCCAATCAAAACTATGACTGGCGGCAGCAGCAGCGAGGACAGCAGAATGAGCGAAGAGGAGGATTCAATGATTATGCTTCTCGCTATCAGGAGCAACAGACAAGGCTATCCTGGCGATATGAAAGCAAAGAGCAGCACAGCTACAGCAGCAGAGGCGTCAGCGATTACAGCAAGGACTACAGCAAGGACTACAGCAAGGACTACAGCAAGGACTACAGCAGGGACTATAACAGGGACTTCAGCAGGGAATACAACAGGGACTACAGCAGGGACTACAGCAGGGATAACAATTACAGCAGCAGGAATTACAACAATTACGGCCGGGATAACAACAGTTACAGCAGGGATAATAGCAACTACAACAACAGAGATAAAAGCCGTGGCAGAAACAGATACTATTGGTCATCAAATGGTGACCAGGCTTAGGGCTAAACTCAACCTTAACTGGTTCACAATAAGTTCAATTTAATTTCTGTAAATTTATATTGCCAAAGTTGATGTGTCGCAATAAATTCTCGTCGTCGTCTGTTGGACCAATTTGTGTGTAAATTATAGCCCATTAGCCAATAGCTCAGCAGCAATTAAAATTCATTTTCAACATGGCCAAAAGCCGCGGGTGCCGTTCAAGCTGCTGCTGCTGCTGTTGCTGCTGCTGCTGCTGTTGCTGCTGCGAGCACACAGTTAACAAGCGTTCAGATCGTGTGAAGATACAATTCACAAAAATTTGCATATGACTTTTATGTTGAGACTGCGCAGAAAGAGAGAGAGACAGAGAGGCAGAGAGTGAGAGAGAGATAAGCGTAAAGCGAAGAGTGGCGTGAAATTCCTGGAAATTAGCGCATCGCCGGCGGCAAGCGGCTCCTATGTCAAACAAATGTCAAAAGCTATGCACGATGCGTAATTATTCTTATGTACCAGACTTATTAAATATATATTTATATATATATCTTCATGTCCAGTTGTCGTCGTATTTAGGTCTTGTACAGTGGTCAAAACAGTTGATTTGAGTGCTCAAAAGGTGAAGTCTGCTTTGGTTTACTCATTGTTAAGACTGTCAAACAGGATTTTGGGTTGCCTTTCTCATTAGCAAGGAGGTCTTTTTAAAGCCGACAAACCGTTTAATGTGATGTCAAATTTAATATCCTTTCTTCTGGCTTACAAATCTGACTTAGACTGTTGTTTAATTCACTTTAAATTCGTTTTACTGATAACGACTGTATCATCAGCCAAATCGTTCATTTATATATGGATTAAAATAATACTTACTAATAATATAAACTTACCCAATACGCTTAAAATGCGTCTCACATTTATATAAAAAAATCATCGATATCGGATTTTCGATTATATCAAACTCACCGGTTATGGATGTTATTATGCTCCTATGATTTGGACACAATTCTATCCAAGGCAGACTACCATTTCATAATGCTTACCTAAGAGAATCTATTTTCTTATAAATATTAATTGCAAATTTAGATATTGACTACGGTCCAAAATATAACTTTTCCGATTGAAAAATACTATTTACCAGTACTTTGCATTATATCATCATTTTTTGTGCATATATTTTATCCTTATAATTGAAAATTGGATTGGTTACTCTTCCCTGCGATAAAAGACAGCTTTTGAAATGCCTTCACTTTTTTTTTATAAAGCGCATTTTACTTAATTTAATTTGATTTCTCTTCGCATTGTATTGTGAAATATTCAGCTGATAAGCTCTCGATATCCACTCGTCTTTTGTTAATGGCTATTGAGTTGAGCCCATTGTCGTGTTTGGGATATGGGACCTGTCATATTGACGGCATCTGATCGTTTCATTATTTCGTCATGGTGGTCAAATGTCAACTTATTAGCATAAAATGTGGCTGCTGTCGCCGTTTCTGGCCGTTTGTTGGTTGCTCGCTGCTTGGGCTTATCGCAGTGCGAGATCTTATCGCTTAACGATCGCCAATTGTTGTTATGGCCACAGGTCCTGCGACAGCGACAAATCGTTGGCCATTACGATGTGGCAGGGGCAGTGGCAGGAACAGTGGCAGATACAAAGCCAGGGACGGACACCGTCGGCGATACAATCGAGTTGATGTTGATGTTGCCCGATCTGATCGGACTGCCGCGATAAACGCCTCGTGTGGCATGTGGCATGTGTGGCGTGAAGTTGTTTGTTGCCCTTAATTGGGTAGCATTTCGTTTTGGTCTTTTCGCTCTGCGCCGGGTCTAAATTTAGCAACTGACTGACCCAATGTTGTCGGCCATAAGGTGATACTTTAATATGGCCTAAAGGCAATTTAGGTAAAAGCTGCTGTTGACAATTATTTAAACTTAACTATTTGATATGTTTAACTTACCTTTGATTAGGTAAGAGCTGTTGCTAAAATACCTCAAGCTTAAAGTTAACTATTTGGTTTGAGTTAACTTACCAAAATATACTTGATCTTTGCCTGTTAAAGAACGAAATTCTAAATTTTCCTATATTTTTTAAACAATATTCAAATTTGTAATAGTTAGCATTTTCGAAGTTAGTTAGACTTTTAACAAGAAAGATGGTTTATTAGAATATTATCATATATGTCATATATTTATATATTATATAATTAAATGATATTAGTTAATTGAAGTGTTTGAGCCACATAAGTGCACAATTGATAGACAAATAAAGTACTCATATATTTTATGGTTAATAATTTTTTAAATTTTAATATTCCATAGGCTTAATATTCCTGTATGATTTCCAATATAACATCCATCAGTAAGTTGAGACAGGCAGTAGCTGAAAACATAAAGCAAAGTTGCAATTTATATTTGTTTCTTTTATTTCAATTAACCATTAAATATCTTCAAACTCGTATTTTTAACTGAACTCATAGCTATTCATTAATCAATCTTTCAATGATCTCTTGAAACTTCCCAAATTTTTCTCTCTACAAGTTGCAAGCAGTTGTAAAAATTCCAAAAGGCCACAGAGCTCGATAAATGGGTCTTTTGGTCATGCCGCCGATTGTGGGACACTTCTCTGTCTCTCTCTCTCTCTCTCTCTCTCTGTCTACTTCTCTCTCTCTCTCCCTATCTGTCTCTCTCGTTGCCCCCCGCGGTTCACTGCCGTCATAAATTGCAAAATCAACCAAAAATTACCAATTGTCAGCTCGGCGCGTTTTCTGCATTATATTTTATCTGTTTATGACCCAAGCACAGATCGAAGCAGATCCAAGCAGAGCAGAGCCTCGAAAGTGTGGCCAATTTTCACAGGCTGTGCGACGATCATTTATCTTAGCATAAGTTGGAGCGCGATAATTGCATTCCACATGGGGCAAGGCAGCGCTGGCTGCGCAGAAGTGGCAGCTTGGCCACTTTGAAGTTTCGCAGCCGACAATTAGGCATGCCACATAAATTTCCACCTCATATATGGCAGCGACTTTAACAGAGGCATTGATTTAAATAATAGCATTTAAAGAGCATTAACAAACCGAACAAAAACCAGAAAAACGTCCTATAGAAATCCCAGAGACAAAAAGACTGCAATTAGCTGGAAGTTTCGATTAGACCAAAACCAAAAAAAAAATGGGGTAGGCAAAAACCAAACAATCCATTTTGCAAACGAACCCCAAACTCAGTCAATCATGATTCAATGGGGGCAACCACTGACAATTGCCTTTGGGGCATACCTTTCAATTGCTGGCCATTGGCTTTTGTGTGTGAGTTTGTGTGTCCAGCCTGGGGGCATGTGATATGTGTCTGCGTGGCTCACATGTCTGCCTGATAAAGGGTCACAGACTCAGACAGCAGCAGAATGTTTTTTGTTGCATTCATTCAATGCTGCCACAGCTGAGCGCACCAGATAATCCCCCTATTGTTGCCAGAGAGACCAACCAGGGTATAAAGAGTCGGGGTATACCGTTTAAATTTTGTCATTCTGCTTACACTTGGGTTGCCGGCAAGGGTTTGTCGAATTTTCAAATGAGGCGTGCTGCAAAATTAAGTAGCACAAATCAGCCGCAGATTAGAATACAATGCGCTGCCAAAGCTGCGGTTTGAAAGTCACAATTTGTGAACTAAAAAAGTAGACTGAAATTGGAGTTTGCTTCCAAGTGATTTAGTACCTGATGGATGTTAAATAGGAGTGTACTTTCCTTGGAATGAGTTTAGTATCTTTTGGATGTAGGCCATTTAAGGACATTTTACCAGGTTTTGAATAAGTAGATGTTGCGAAAACTTTAATTATCAACTAATCTATGAGCTAAAGTTTCAGATTCGAGATTTGAGATGTCGACATCTATCCCAGGTTTAATATAAATGTAAATGAAGGGTGCTGAAATTTTTAATTCCTGGCCAATAACTGATACTGAAAACTAGGGATTTGTGGATGGTGGATTAACTTAGGGTTGAATGCATGCATAATTTGTGAATGGAAAACGTTCCACTAAAAACCGCTGATTTTATAAATAGGGTCTTAGCTCGAAACGAAAAAAGAGGATTTAAAATATCAGCAAAGGGATATTCAGGTTATTAATAGAACTGAAAGGACTCACGGAGAGTTAGCTTACGAATAATTTTAACTATATCCTGTGCAAGTGAAAGCCATATATTCAAAGAGAACTACAACTCAGCATCGCATTAAATCTGGATTATATATGGAGTTTCGAACCGCCCTCTTTCGATGGAATCGAATCGAGAAACACTTGCCACTTATCGGCGTACACAATCTTAATTAAAGGCCGCCCAGTTGAGGGGGGAATACAAAACAAATGTTTACTTTAAAGTCGATGGTAATCTGGGGCATGCCACATGTGACAATCGTGGGCAGTCAAATTGCACACGAAATCGATTAAAGTCACGATGAAACAACACGAAATCAGCAATTAAGCAGCCGAAGGGCGAAATATTTATTTATTTTTATTTTTATCTTTATTTTTCCTCTTATTTTTCATTATTTTTTTTCTCATCCCAGTTTCATTTATCTCGCGCCGCGTCGACAGGCAACGATTGAATTGAACCCAGGCACGCACGTGACTCAAACCCAAGACCTTCCTTCCTTTCTTAAATTGCTGCATAGTGGACCCAATGAGGTTTTTTTTGGGTGGGCGTTACTCACTGATGCATGCAGCATGCGGCATGCAGCATGAAATCTGTGTCGCCGAACAGTTGAGCCAAAAAGTTAATGCTCCTGTTCGAGTATAAATCGTAACTTTTTCATTTGTCGACAGTTGCCAGTCTGAAGTCATCTGCCGATTGGTGATTATCTTCTCCCACACACCAATACACACAAATGCATTTGAGAGTTCTTTTTGCGGCTGGCGCCGCACATAAACTTTATTGTCGCCACATTTCTATTGCATACTTTGAGGCGCCACAGCGGAAAAAATAAGGCAAATAAGTCAATGTATTAGTCGAAGGTGCCTCACGAGCAGAAACCCTGCATATTGATAATCCATTGTGATGTAATCCTAAAAAATAACCTGCTGATGACTCAAAACTTCCGCAAGCCATAGCTTTGTTCAAACCGGTTCCAACCGGATCTATTTGGCCTCTTGGAAAATACTGCAATTGTAGTAAAAAATCTCGCAAATCTGGCTCGATTTCTTTAACAAAGTTATGCCCTAACATAGTGCTTGGAGTGTGTAAAAATATGATAATATTTTCATGTTCCCATGGCCATAACTTTGTCAAATTTGAATGGTTATATTTCAATGTACAAACTGAGAGTAGATCTTCATGCTACCCTTTTTCTCATTGCTAATGGCTGCTGGGTATCCACAAAAAATGCTGGGACAAGTCAATGAACTTTAAAATGTGTCGCTAGACCAAAATCGGAGACACGCCCATTGCCAAAATGTTGCGTTGCCACCAAACGCCCGCGCAACCCTTGGAGTTGTCAGGGGTTTCGTTCCTGCCCCTCCCACCCCTGCCTCTTTTTTGTGGAAAGTAATTTTTGATGTTGCTCTATCTTTCATTTCTGCTTCTTTTTGGGCAAATATTTGTGCAAGTCAGCGGATGTGTCTCCGTGGGGTGGAGAGAGAGAAGAGGGGAGCAGTGGGTTGAGCACCACCCCTTGGCATGTTTTTGTGTTATCATTTGAGTTGCATACTTGCAGGCGCCTGGGGTAGGAGAGGTCAGGGGTCAGGGGTCGGGGTTGGGGGTTGACGGTTGACAGAAACGAAATTGTTACGGTCTCATAGCTGGCAAATGTTTTGGAAATATCTCAAGTGCTATTTATTTTGGTCGGCTGTCAAAGTGCTCGGAGCTCTGTGCATCATTTCGAGGGTGTTTCGCACACATTTTTATGTCCTGTTTATGGATTTGTGGCCACATTTATTAAATTCAACAGCTACAGTTGCCAAAAGGTTTGAAGTGCTTGAATCAAACGACTGCAAGTCAATTTAGATTTTATTTCGATTGATTTGCGAACAAATTGTTGGAGCAAAATGGAAATCAGCTAGTCCCAACACTTGACTTTTATTTATTTAGTTAATGTCAGTCGACACAAAAGAAAATAACGTAAAAATATATTTAAATTCAAAATTATAAATATTTAAAAGCATTTGTGGCATGTCTTGGCGACATACTCGTTAAAAACCCAATCAGAAAATCGAAATCGTAAAATAAATGAATACATCCTCAGTTGATTGATCCAAATTAAATGTAATTTGCTAAAGAGAAAGTAATATTTGCAAGGAATCGACTTAGAAACTTACCCAATGATCCAGTGATTATTCAAGTTCTCCCAGCCTGCTGCTGCCTGCTCGTTGTCGGCTGAGTCCGCAGCATAATTCACCGAGTAGGCTGACAAAGGCAATGATCAAACCAGCGATGAGCATTATCAGCGGCACATTGAAGTAGTCGAGGGTCAAAGGGAGTGTTTCATACGGTTCGGATGGTATCAGATTCAGATATCCAATGTGTATTGTCTGACGATTTGTGTCATCCGCCAGTTTCTGCATGAGGCCACTCACAAAACAATTGAGCAGCGTCTCGCTCAGTTTATACTTGAGCAGCCATTGGTTTTGCATGGGGAAGCCTGGCAGGGAATGCATCAGATCGATGGGCAATGGACGCATTCGTGGCTTTTCCATATACTGTTGCTGGAACTTGAAGAGCACCAGACGATCGCTGTGTGCCAAGTAAGCATAGTTCGGATCGAACACACGACGATGCTCCAGTATAAAATCATAGGACACCACACGCGTTATATTCCACAAGATATCCGGATAGTCGTAGGTCATCAACACCGTCTTATCATAGGCCCCAATGACAATGTTAATATTCTGTTTAACTAGTTCCTCAAAGCTATTTATTTGTGGATCGTACAGACCCGTGAAGAGTATAGTCTTCAGAAAAGCCAGGTAATAATTCGAGCATATAAATCCAGCCACAAATATGGTGCTGAACAATATGTAGTGCTGCCAGCCAGTAATATTCGCAAGTCGAAAACCCGCACAGAGCAGACTCGAAAGTATATCTAGCAATAGTTTGCCGCACTCCCAGCGACCCAATTGCAGCCAGCAAATAAAGCTGGCAAATCCACAGATCACTGCTATATATAGTGCGACTAGTAGCCAGGTCTTCAACTGCAGCGGTGCTATAATATAATAGTTCTTCGATCGGGGCTGTGCTGACGGTATCAAAATATTGCCATACAAATACATATAGCTCTCCGTGAAGCTGGCCTCATTGGAGTAGGCCAATAAATCGCCGCAAATTTCGGATTTATTGCTACGCAAATATTCTAAACAATCACTGGCCGAGTAAACCTTATAGTCCGGCGTGAGTACGGGCACAAATTTGGCGCCCCTCTGTGCGAGAAACTTGCGGAGCAGCATGAGAGCATAGCCATCGTAGAGCTGATCCTCCGGATAAACGAGTGTCCGTGGCGGATTATTATAGAGAGCCACACGCACCTCCCAGCCCCGGAGATTGTCGAACCAATGCAGACGTGACCACAAATAATGCTCAATGCTGCTGCCCCTCAATTTCTGTTGCGGATGTGGAAATAAATCGCTCGTAAAGAGTTGACCCTTAATTCCCAGACTATCCGTACTATTGAAGAGGAGCACATTTGGAAAGCCGAGTTGCCAGAGTGTCGTGAGTATTTGCAGCCAGTTGGCAACGCTGTCACAGCCCACTAACAAAAAATCAGCTCTTTGCATTTTCGTCGGCAACTGCTGGAAAATCTGTACGGCTTGTTCTCTGGTCGGTAGTGGTAAAATCATCAGCAGAGGCTTGGGCAGATTATTACAGCTACTGTAGAGTCTACTATAATCCCTACTGACCAATACGCTTGGAGTTTCATTTAGGGTTCGACTAATCTCCGCATAGATATCTATGGATTGTGTGGCATCCGTATACATAAGATTGCTTTTGGTCTCCAGCCCGCGATTGAGGGCTGCTATGCTCGAGCCGAGCTCATTGTGGGTGCTTTGATCTATGTGAGCAGTGAGAAGACTTAGCAGCAAAATAAGCTTAAGCATGTTTCTCAAACAGAGTCTGAGCTTGGTTTAGTGTTGCACAGTGTGTTTAGATGAGCTGAAAAAAATACAAAATAAATAAGCAAAGCATTAAAAAGCAGCGTGATTTGTACAGGCTTTGATTGGCATATTGGGCAGCTTGTGATTTATTATAAAATTAATATTAATTGTTGCTAGGTTAATAGGCAGCCAAAGCATTAAGCACTAGCCTTTAAATTGTACGAGGATGGTGCAAATTATATGTCACATTAAAGCTAAAGGTTTTGGAATATTGATTGAGATTTATTTGAAACTTAATTTTACTTAGTGTACAATAAGATAATATAAATATGGTTATCATTTTAAGTGATTTGTATAGGCTGGGAATGAAATAATGCTTGTGACTTTGATATTTATTGAAGCGTCTTGGATTAAAAGAAGCAAAATCCTTAAGCACTAGTTTGTAAATAAAATATTATTTATATATCACAAAAAAAGAATGCTAAGCATTTCTCTCAGTGTGACAAGATTGCTGCACTATTTGCGAAAACCAAGCATAAGCAGACAACAACTAGAAGGGTGCCAAGGAACATGTTGCCGCACTACAGCACACTACATCAAATCCATACATCAATCAATCAACGCTGACGAAGTGGCCAACGTTGACTCCCTTCGCATGCGCCAGGCCAACAGCTCGACGAGAAAGGTGAGCAGTGCCAGAACGTAGCCCAGGCCCAACGACATGGCCGGCATGACGAAATAATCGAGATCCAACGGTGTTGCGGTCTCATAGTCCTCGGTGATGAGATAGTGGAGAGAGCCCACGCTCGATGACATCGTCTCGTGATCCGCATCCTCGCTCAGCTTCTGCACGAGTCCACTCTCGAAGGCATTGGCCCAGGCCCAACTCAGTTGCTGTTTCAAGAACCAGCTGTCGCGCATCGGGAAGCCAGCAAACAAAAATAATATTTTGATGGGAATGCGACGCATTCGCGGATGCCTCAGCATCTTCTGGGCATAGTCATAGAGATCCATGCGATCGCTGAACAATATATACGCATAATTCTCATCAAATCCACTGCGATGTTGCCACATTGTCTCATCGGAGACCACCTTAATTATGGGCCACAGCATGTTGGGCAAATTATATCGTCGCGTCAAATTCCGATCGTATTCATCTATCATAATACTTATGTTCGCCTGGAGTAAGTCCTCAAAGTTATCGATTTGTGGCTCAAACACCTCGGTGGTCAGCATGCTCTTCAGATAGCCCAAATAGAATGTTGAGTAAATAAAGCCCGCTACAAAGAGTACACCAAATAAGATATATCGCTCTCGTCCATGCAGATCCTTCAATGCGAATCCGGTGAACAACACCGAACAGATCGTCTCCAGCAGAAAGGTGCTAAAAATCCAACGATGCTGCTGCTGCCAGTGTATATAGCTCATAAAGAATACAATAAATGCTATATAGACGATCAGGCAGATCCACACAGTGGAATGGAATGGCGCCACCAGATATCGATACGATCTCAATGGTTTCGCACTGGGCACCATTATATTGGCATAGGCCAATCGTATTGGGTTCGTCACCACAATGGCATTATGCGATTTCTGGGCCAAGGCATCGGCGCAGAGATCTACGTGGCGGGAGAGCAGCGCCCTTATGCAATGTCCTGGCGATTCATTGGGCGTATTGATGGCCACAAATTTGGCATTGTGAGCAGCCAGAAAATGTCGTATAAATCGCATATAATAACCACCATAGATCTGTTGGCCATGTTCATTATCGTAGACGAGGCAACGTGGCGCATTTGCGTAGGCTGCCACACGTATCTCGAAGCCATGCAAATCAATGGAGCGATTGCGATTTGCAACATAATTGTTCACATTGCTCAATTCCAGTTTTAGTTGGGGAAACAATTGTTTCTCATATATTCGCTCGTTCTGCGCATAATAAAATAACACATTCATATAGCCCAATTCCCAGGCGAATTCCACAAATTGCAACCACATTTCGGGCATGTTAAACTCCTCTTCGATTACCAGCAAAAAGTCTGCAGACTGAAAGTGAAAAGTTAGCCATTTAAAGAGCTCATTTGGTGGTTGCTTCACAAAGAGCACAAAGATCACTTGCTCGCCTATTTGTTGCATTATTCGTGTTGCATTTAAAGTTGACTCATTTAATATTAGCTGAGTTGTGGGTTTTATTTGGCGTAGATGGTGCAGTTCCTCTTGATACGGATTGTAGATGATGTTTGTGGTAACTTTGAGTCGCGTGTTGAGCTCATCAATGATTTGGGGCAGTTCTGCCGTTGCAGCTGTGCTCGTTTGTGGCAACAACAGCAGCACTAGAAATAAATGCATTGAAAGCGACATCTGCAAGAGATTTTTTCTGGGATTTATTTCAAGAAACTTATTAAAGATAATAAGATGTGTACCATATAAGGAAGCTTAAGCGGAAATATATATATTTAAAAGGAGACTTATGTGATTAAAGATTAGAAGGAATATAATAAGTTTATTGTGATTTATCAAATTAATAAATAGAGAAGTGGATCTGATCTCATTTGTTTTCTACACAATGATGACCTTGGAGATCTATCAAAGACCACCTACAAAGATTTAAGTGATAATAAGAGGCGACAAATAGATCTCTTCACATTTGATTTTTAAAAATAACAAAAACACCCACAAAGTATTTTTGGCAGCATCTGCTAAGAGGCCAAGCCTTCTTCTTAGGTAATTCCACCTACTTTAGCCACTTCAATATATCACCTGGTATCTGTGCATGCCTGCTGTGTAGACTGGGTCAATTAAGACTAAATGACTGTTTACTGGTTCACTGATATTTGTTGATATATTCACAATATGCTGCAATTAGCACTCGGCATAGTTTGTGTATTTGTTTTCTTTGCTACTCAACTTATAAATATTCCATTGCAGCTGATAAAGTCAACGGGAATTAACACTCGCTCAGACAGACAGACACTTACCGACGCCTACGCATCACATCCTGTTCTAGTATATATATATTATTATCAGTTTATTTATTCGTCTATTTATGTTTAGTTTAACAATTTTCATGCCTATGCAAAAGCACAATAATGACAACAATAGTATTGCAATAATATTATTCTACGCCCACATTTATTTATTTAATTTAATTTTTTTCGAACGTGTCAATATTTTTGCTGGCTAATTTATTGTCAACGTTGCAAAGATCGAGATTTGAATAGAACCAATCAGCATGGCACAAGTGGCGCCATTTTTTGATCGGCGACGGCGATCGCAACTAAAAATAGATGCAAACAATGTAGTTTTGCTCGCACTCCTTCTCTTTCTTTCATGCATGCGCACAATTGTGACCAATCGGAGAGAGGCGCTATTGTTGTTGTACTTGCTGCTGATGCTGCTGTTAAGTGGGGTGCTGAAAGAAGGGGGGACTGTTAATCGCTGTGCACAGCTGTTAAAAAATTAACTGTTGGCTGTCTGATTTGTGGCGCCTGATTAACGGCTGTCATGCACTGCTAATAACTACAGTACCGGTTATGTTACGGAGCTCAATGTTAAATGCGCCCGCAGACTGCCTGCTTACGAGGCACTTGAGTAGGGTTAACGAATTAACCGCTAATAGCTGAGCAGAATTTATTTCTTGTTTTGTGGGAATGCTTTCCGCGAAATTTGTGTGTTTCACTCAGTTTCAATTTTGGCAGCCAGTTGACCCACTGTCAGTCCTCCCATCTCTCAGATCTTGAGCTTGTTATAGTTGAGCCACTGGCCTCGCTTAACAGTATGTTGAACAGTGCAATTAGCATCAGGTCCTGCAACGGTACATTAACATACATTCAGTATTTGCATAGCAATTTGCTCAGTGAATCTGGGTGGAAACCTTGACATTTAAATTTTAATGATTAAAAGCACTCAGATATCCGGGTAAAACTAAAGCACTAATTGCCCGACAATAATTATATATTCTTAAGACATTAACTGAGGCTAAAGTCTATGGATCAGTAGAGTATTATTACCTTAAGGAACAATCTATGTCAATTTTGATCTAGAAAGTAGAAAGGGTTCAGATATTAATCTCTGCTTTGCTGGCTGTATCTTTCTACTGCATCCACAGAACCTCTGCTAACCAACTTCTGCTTAAGCTATTGCAATTCTCTATCAAAATTCCTTCACAGACTTAATCAGCTGTTTAACTCTAATAAACTTCCAATTTGGCTGGCTGCTTTTCGCAGCATGACTCAGGCAGAGACACGCACAGTAGTCGGAAGAGATGTTGGCGCAGGCAGCAGCGGCGCATAATTAATAAGATAAGAAATGTAGTTGGAACAACTGAAACAACTTACAAGACACCGCCCTGAAACACCTCGGGCTGAAGGTCAAGCTAATAATGATTTAGATAATCAAAGAGAGGTGCCCCCAAAAAGGCAATGCGCCGATGCAATCCAACCTGCCACCAAAAGCCAAGCCAAGCCAAGCCAAGCTAAGCCAACTTGCCTCGCGGCACAAACTGACAAACCAAACAAAAAAGCAAGTGGCAGGTGAGTGGTGGAGAGAAGGGTGGGTAGGCTGAGGAGGGGGTTGTGTAGTGCCTGGCAAACGATCATAAATACGAAAGAAAAAAAAAAGGGTTACGCCTATTTTTACACGCAAGCAAAGTCAGCATTTCCACGGAGCTGAGGAGACGAAGCAAAAATATTAAAACGATGCGACGTGACAGATTACAAAACGTTTGACACCAGCGCCAAAGCCGCCACGACGAGGCAGCAACTCCAAAGAAGAAGAGGCAGAAGAAGAAGCTGCACAAGAAGCCAAAGCAGCCACTTGCCACACGACGCGACGGCTCAGTTGTTGCAGTTGCAGTCACGAGCTTGGAGCCACAGTCCGACTCCAGACTCAAGTTGGTAACTGGGTTCTTGGGGCATTCTTCTCTCTGATCCTCTGGTTTGTTTTTCTTTTTGTTTTTTGTTTTTTCTTTTTTGTGGGGTCGACTCGTTTTTGGCTGCTGCGTGCGAGTAAATTGCCTTGAGGCTGCCACACTCAGCAGCGGACTTGCAGCAGCAGCAACAAACTGTTGCAACTGCAGAGCGCGCGTCACAAATTAATTCGCTGAAGTTGCAGTTGCAGTTGCAGATCGGTATGGTTCCCACAGTAGTTGCTCCAAGGCGGATTTGCCAGGCTCAGCCTGATTCTTGAGTCTAGTGGTTCACCTGCGCCTGTGCAGCGGTTCTTCATTCACCTCCTCCACCTGCTCCTTATCATCCTCCACTGGCTCTGCGGAGGCTGCACTCGTGAGTTATGACAGACAGGCTCCGACGACTGTGTGGAGGCAGAAGCCAGGATTCACAATTTCAGAATTCAGATACCGAGTGCCTCTTACGCTTGAGCGTGCAATTTTAATACCCTCCAGCTTAGCAATTGGTATTGGGTATATTGTATATGAGGTAAACTTAATATGAGTACATCTCTTTTTGAGTTTACTTGATAGTCAATATACCCTTTATCCACTCAATAAAAGATGTGTGGTCTATAACTTAGGCTTTTTGATTTTTACAGGCTATCCAGTTTATATAGAGCTATGCTATTTGCAGTTATGTAAAGTTTACTCATAGGTATTCACTTAATTTGCATACATTTATCGATTAATATAGCTTTAAATTTTTTCAGAATAACAGGGTATATTTTTGTCTAGTCTTTAGTATATAGGTTATTATGCCATTAGTAGTAGGCATTCCTAAACTGTAATATTTGGTCTGTTTGACATTCTCTTTTTTTTACATGGAATAAATGATTAAATACTTTTTTGTATTGGAAGTATTCTAGCAAATTTCTATTATAAAATAGCATTTAATCATTAGAGAAAGTTTCAAGTAAATTGTAATATTACTTACAGGTTTACGGGGTGTTTAATAGTCGTGCTCACAGTTCAACTTGCTTCTAATTCACTCAGTCAACAGGGGCACCGTGCAGCATGCAACAGTGCAACAGGGCAAACGTGGATGAGATTTTGCGTATGCGCCGCGTAATTGACTTGGAAGTTATGAACCTTTAAATGTGGCCACTGCAGAAGGCACCACTGCATCCAACAGAGCACCACTGCACCGCAGAACCACAGCACCACTGCATCACAGCATCTCAGCATCCGAACCACGGGCATGTAATTTTAATTTTCTCACTTGATTGCCCCGTAGCTTTAAAGTCTGCACTCATTCATATGACTGTGGTTGAGGCGGGTGCCCCATTCATACGATTCATATTCATATTCATACTCATATTCATATACATATTCATAAATATATATGTATATATTGGTGTGGATCGCGTTTTGGTCATTCAGGTTCGTTATTGGTTTCGATGGGCAGCTGAGTTGAGTTGATTAGCCCTTGACTTGCAGCAAAGTTGTTCAGCTCATCAAGTGCCAAAGTCTTGTTAAAAGATCAACAGTGGCAACAAAAAATGATATATCGAAATTAATTTATATAACGAAAGTAGCAGAAGGTTTCTAGGTAGTTAAGAGAGCTGAGAATGTAACTTGATTATCAATAATAGTAATACTAAGTATATTCCAAAATTCTACAAATATATTCAATATTCGAACAATATTATATATTCTTCTTCCATTCGTGTCTCTAACTATACCCATTTAATTCAGATATTTAATATTGACTTTATCCTATTCTTATATCTCTATCCTCTCTCTAGTTATCCTCATATTTCTTTGATGATAATTACTATAGTTGCAAAACAATGCAAACAACATTCAGACATTTGCCAAATACTCAATATGAATTTCCCATGCAAATCAGCAAGTTTTTTTTGCAATTAAGTTGAGAATGCAAAAATCGACGATAAACTCTGTGATCTGTGCCGTTTGGAGGAATGGATTAATATAAGGTAATTATTGCATATTTAGCGTACAATCCGAGCTCTCAAATATTAACACAAATGATTAGCAAAATCGCACAAATTCGCATTTGGGGAATGCGGCACAGTGGAACAGTTTCTTTAGTTGTCGAATAATTATTGAAATAACTAAATTTTCTTTTGTGTTTTGAGTTAGAGAAGAAAAGTGTTTATTTTATTGCGTATAATACTTGAAGATTATATAATAATTGATATAATATAATAATTCAAGATCGATATTAATCGATAACAACTTACGAGGGCTAGAACTAATCTAGTATTGACTGATACAATCAAACAGAGTATACTATTTCTCATAACTTGGTAAGCTTTTAATATTGGTATTTTGTTCCACTCTTAATTTGAAGCGGATAACACTTTGGGAGAATTTGAAGCGGATAACACTTTGGGGAATCTCCAAAACGACCGCCCGATAAATGTATGTGTATAAATATTGGCCGCGAAATTTGTCAGGTTTCGCTTGCGAGTGTTGTACAACGCATTATGTTTATTTATATACTTTATAATTATAACTCTTTGCTATTGCCTACAACTCGACTGCTTTTTATGCCACTCATTGTTGTTGTTGCGGCACTTCACATATGACCGCAAATTTGTAGCGCAAATCCAAAAAAAAAAAAAAAAACAGGAAAAAAAAACATAAATAAAAACTTCATTCAACAATTTTCGGGCTTTAAACTTGGGCTCGTCTGCGGTTCGGTTTCAGTTTCGGTTTGGTTCATCTTTGAGGGGGCAGCAGCAGATAGATGCTGATACTTGCTGCAGATGTTGTAGATGCTGATGTTGATGTTGTAGATCTCGAGGCTGCGGCCTGTTGGCTCAATAAATTATGAGCCCGCCTTTTTTTGTATTTTATATTTTTTATAAGAATGCAAACACAACTCGATTGTGGGTGTCATGCGTTTTGGCCTAATGAAAATGTTTGTCTTTACCCGTCCGGCGATTTGCCCGAATATATGTATATATATTTTGGTGGGCAAATTTATTGCGCCTCAAATTACAAGAGCTGGAGAAAAGACCACAGATTTTATGTACGACTTGGTGTCTTGGCAGCCATCTAATGGCTATGTAATGAAGCATTCCAACAAAACTCTAATGGAACTCAACTCGCGGGCGTTTCAAATGTCTTTGCATGCTAATCGTTGTTCAAACTGCATTCACATCCATATATCGATATATGTAGGCTGCGAATGTGATTTTCTTTTTTGAGAGAGTTTTTTAAAGTGACAGTTATGAAAGGCATTCCTATTTTGGAATTCAAAACTGCTAACAAATTGTTTTAGATGGAAGTTTTTATATAGACAGTAAGAGCATGATATATTTTATTTCTAAATTAGGAATTAATGACAATATATTCATAATTAATAAGCTGCTAATAATAATAAATAATATGCTTAGTTTTTCCTTTTACAAAATCATATCATATATTTTAGACGTCACATTTGTGGAGGCTTAATAGATGTTCACATGCTCGTTGCTGCCTTTAACTAACTCTAGCCAATAATAGGCACTAACTGATAGAATAATCACAATATGATTATAATATTACGATGTAATTGTTATTGTCAGGCCGAAAACACGTTTAGACCTTGTGTTTACACTAAAATTAACAACACAAAATTATTTACGAGCAACAAAAAAACGAAAAAAAAGAGAAAAAAACGAAAGTAAAAAAAATTGAATTTACATAAAAATGTACAAAAACAAGAAGACACAAGATTCACGCGTGTCAATCTGTGGAATGTGCGTTTTGTGTACTTAGCCAAAATACTCTCAAGTGTTGACTCTTTACTTGTTGACTTTTGGCCAATAAATAGCAGGCGAGACACAAAAATAGAAAACAATGGCTAAATTTGACAATTTTGCTAATTAAATGCGAAAATTCATTGGTTTTTGGTTTGGGTTTTGCTATTTTTCCCTATTTGTTCAGTCCGAGAATAATGCGCAAAATCTAAAAATATTTGGAGGACCCAGACTTGGCCAAGTTCAGCAGAGAACAAGTTCCGTGTTCAGTTCGAACTGCATTCAATAAATCTTGATTGCTGTTCATTTATGACATTTATGACAATTTATGCAGCCGATGAATCAGCTGAATCGAGTAACGCCTGCAAGTATCAGTAAAAGTTGGTTTGGGCCACAAATTAACGCAGGCCCAACTGAAGGTTAAGGCCAAAGCCAAATGCCGAGAGGTTAATGTGTTTTTAAATGCCCTGTTAATTGATGAGCGGCAACACACAAGTGCCACATTGTATCTTTTTAGCTCCAGTGAAGTCATCCAAAGGCGCTTGACTTCGGTTCGATTTATATCCACATTGTAGAATCTAAATATTTAATACAAACAGCATTTATAATATTAAAAATGTGCTAGTTCTTTCATTAGAATCTCATATTGATCGAATAACTAAAGCATAACAACTTATATCTTGAATTATTTCACATTTCATTCTATTTTATATAAAATATTTAAAAGTCAAAGTCGCTGTTTCAGCTGTCAATATGTTGGCATTATTTCCCCAAAGTTTTTAAATCCTAAAAGCAGTTAACTAAAAAAAATGAATTACATCTCTTATCTAAATTCAGTTTTGATTTAAAAACTCAAACAAAGCTTCTTAATTTATTCTACGTTTCGTTCTAACTTAAATAAAGTATACAAAAGTAAAGTAATACAAAGTTGTCAACATTTCGGCATTATCTGCTCAAAGTACGTCAATCCTTGTAAATTTCTACAACTGTTTGAATATATCACTGAATATTTCAAGTTGTCAAACACAAACCGATCCTCAAAACACTCAAATGTTTGTTTATTTATATTCTCAGTGAACAACCCTCGTTATTCCATTCACTTTCTTTCTCGAGGCTCGTTAAAACATTTATGTTAACAGAAGTTTGCTGCTCATTATTCTGATGATCGCGATCAAGATCGGTTAACAAAAAACGCATAAATTAGTGATAGAAGAGAGAGACGAGAGGAGGGGTTGTTTGATTGTCGCATGTCAACTGGGCGAACATTTTCATTAAGAAGGAAAAATGCATTGAGTAAAATGCGACAGTTGGCCAACAGCTTTCCAATAGGGGCGGTCTCGCAATTAAAGTAACGTGCTTCCCAAGAAAAGGGTTCGCCTTCTTCATTGCGCATTGTTTGTTTAATTGAATTTGCAGCTCACGACAAACCAACAATCCAACAAACAAACAACCAAACAAATAATCATAAAAATAAAAAACCAAGTGTGGAAAAAGATGCGTGCGATTGCCAGCAGCGGTAAATTTCTTCTTTTTTTTTTGGCCACCATCGATTGATCATTGTTGGTTGGCTTACTGACCAGAGACTCCGAGAGCGATCAGCGACACCATCGGCGTTGAAAAGCCAAAGCCATTGCTCCAAATGCACCTCGACACCAGTTCCTTGGAACGCACAAAGGCGTCGAGCGAGGGGTGAGTGGGGAGTGAGGATATCGGAGGGCAAAGAGTGCAGAACTTCTTCCTCCTGCGCATATTATGCATTTCGATCTGCGTCTTTAACCAACGCCCACCGATTGCTGCGGCTTTTGCCTTTAGCTGCTCCGGCTACGTTGCATACCCTTTACAAATTCTATATTCATTTAGCCATGCATTTTGCTGCGATTGTGTGAATATATTCTTCACATATAATTAACACTTGGGAAATAATATTTTTGCATTGAATATTTCAGCTCTTAAGTTTGTAGATGATTATTATTATTATAGATTTTGTAGTCTAGTCTTTATAGGGTATTTTAGAAAATGTATTCATCTTTTATTTACATAAAAATGAAAGCAGTTTTTATTATTGTAAAGGGTATTTGCGTAGTCGTTGCATTGCAATGAGTTTGAGGGCTCTTGTTATTATGTGTGCTGCTTTTGTTGGTTTTCGCGTTTATCAGTTGAGATCAGCCACGGATATGTCTGCGACTGGGTTTTATCCTGACTGCCTGAATGCCTGCCTGGCCTGGCTGTGTTCCAAGCGTTTTTCGTAATTTTTTTTGGGCACTGAATTTTAATTAAAATATTTCTCAGGGTTTTTAGTTGTTGTTGTTGTTTTTGTGAAGTTTTTAGGGACTTTTTTGGAGTACGTTTTGGGGGCCTTTAATGCTGGGTCTCTGCACTCCGATTGTCGTGAGTGTGACACATTTGCATCAGATATGATGCGCTAGAGTCAAAGGACAAACAAACAGACACAAGCATACACATAACACACACACACACACGCACACACACACAACACACACAATGCACATAAATCAAGTGTGAAGACCCACCGAGTGGTACAAGGAAAAAAAATACAACTACAACAAGTAAATGAACTTGTCACACCTGAGACAAGAGTAGAGAGATTGCAACACAAGGTGGCATAAACTCATAAATAGTTTAACTTGTGTCTTTTCCTTTCATTGTTCTCGGTGGCACACAGATAGATTTCACAGTGCATTTCAATTGCGATTCGCATTTGACACGTTTTTGCCGCTGCCAACATCTAAATTTTTCAACTGAGGACGCGACGTGGCGCCACAGCACCTCGTTACGTATCCTGCTGCGTTGTTGCCAAAAAAAGGACGAAACACACACAAACTACAGCCAAACATATGTATATGTAATATATATATATCTCAGTCAGGTTTAACATTATATATAAGCTGTGTATATAACAATTTTCTGGCTATATAGTTACGGGGAATTTGAGGCGTGAGGCAAAAAAGATTTCTTGGCCAAAATTGCGGTTGGAATTTTTGGGTTTTTTCTTTATAGGGTTTTCTAGATTGGGTGGAGTGCTGTTGGTGTGCATGTGAGTATATGTGTGTGCGTGTGTGGGTGGGCGAGTTATGCAACAATTTGAATGTGTGCCAAATGGGAATGCTTACCATGCAAAGTAGCAAGTAGCAAAGTAGCCTGAAAATAAATGCAAACAACTAATTAAATATGTGGAATTTGGCTATGGTATTTATAATAAATATAATTAATAACTATTATTATTTTTAAATTGGGAAAATGAATTTCGAAGAATCTGATGAACTGATTAATTAATAATTCTCTTTATTGAGACTTTTCTTGAAGTATAGGTTTTTAAATTAAAAGCATCTCAAGGCGATTCTATCTGGAAAATTCGATCTTGTATTTAAGATTCTAAGCAACTACTACATAAGACAGGAAACAAGACAAAGTAAACATTTATAAATAAAAATCTTGTTTGAATCTGTTTATATAAAATAATTTAAGTACTTATAGTTTATTGTATAATAAAGAACTATAATTTAATATAATATTCTCACGCCCACTCCTCAAAATATAAACTCTGTAGATTATATATATATCATATCGCAGTTTTTCCAATTTCATACGTCCGCTAAGTGTTTAAAAGCAACTTGAAATGACTTCAGCTTTTCATTTCCTGAACAGTTGTGTTTTGGCGCCACCAAACCTTTATTTGGCTAATTAATTTTGCACAGCACATCAGTTAATTTTTCTAGTCGTTGTTGCTTTATTTTCGTTGTTGAAATAGCGTTCTATTTAATTCATCATTGTCATTATCAGTTGCTAATTTTTTCGTCACTTCGCCAGTTAAACGGTTGTCTGCGGTTCAAGCGTTTCAGGCATAAATCTCAATTAGCGACCGACTAATTTGTCTTTGAGTGACTCTTGTGCGAACTGCTGATAAATAGGGAAGAATACACACAGTCACAACTGATATGGGCTTGAAATAAATAAAGAATTCGATTTAATAAATATATTCACATTTTTCAAAGTGACATTTTATTTGTTTTTTTTTTCAATTGATATTCAAATATTCCGCCCTTGTGACGTTTGCACTGCTTGCTTCACTGTACTGCTTGAGTTAACATCACAGCCTGCACGCCGCTGTTAATTTTAACAGTTGCAACTTGTTGGCAGCGCACAACTTAACAGACTGCCTCCGTTTAGAATTCAAATACAATGTTAAAGTTCTTTTTAGTTTTTATCAATCTTAAGAATGAAATGTGCGCAATTTACTAGCAATAGTTACTAAACAAGAATGGGAATTTGCATTTCTGTGTGTGTGAGTCAGCACTTGACATAGTTTCGAGTAAACAATATAGCTGAAAAATGTTATTGTTTCTTGTGGTTGTCTGATAAGCGCAGCTACCGAATTTTCTGGCTCTTTTGGTTTTTTTTACCATCACGAATATATTCATTCATGTCGAATGCGTTTGCTTTTGTTTTTAATTGAACTGATTTGCTTGAAGTTGCCTATCGGGGCGTCATTCATTTCACACAGAGAGACGGAGACATATACACACCTCGGCATATATATCCAGTATCTCTTAATTGGAAATTGAGACATGAGGCAAAGTCCAATTTCAATTTTGTTGTTGTTTTTTTTTTTGAGGTACTTTACTTGAAAAAATTGACTTGCTGCTTAAACTACTAATATTTTGACAGATTGCTCTGAGGCTGATTAGGCGGCTCAAAACAAAAAACCCAAAGGCTTATCAGCAAAAACTAATTTCGACTAATTGCGTTGAACTTTTGAAGGCCCCACAGTTTCAGTTTGAACTGACAGAAGGTTGGGTTCACCCAAAAGATGATGTTTCCAGTTAAGAAACATGCTTGTTTTTTTGTAACCATTGATTAGATTTCTCTTTGGCATCGATAAGCTTTCTCACATGCTTCTTACGTTAATCACTGGTAAGAAAAAATATGTATAAATATATATATATATATAGTTTTTCTTTTTTTTTGGGTCGCCAACACAATTGATTTACAGCATGGAGTTCAATAAAAGTGCCGGACACAATCGATCAACCATGCAAACTGGACCTTGCTCAATATTATTATCGAATTTTTGACCGTTAACTTACCACAGACTGCTACAAATGTTAAAGATTAAGTTTTATTTCTTTTACAACCACAAAATACTGTGTGCTTTTGAATTTTTCCTCATTTTTGTTTTCTTGACTAGTTGCAAGTTTTTATTCTTCCCATTTAATTTCAAATCGCAAGCAAACACAAAAAGGTAACTGTTAGCATTTAACATGAACTGTTATCAGTGGCGTAACATGTTCGGCTGGCTGTGCCATTTTGAGTTTAACATTAACATATTAACAGTGTGATTAGCTAACAGCGGCAGGCGATGTCTGTAGAGGCTGGCAGCGGCCGAGCATTCGTATCCATATCTGAGTTTGTGCGCACCTTTCGTCGGTTCAAGATCGCTGCCACGGAGAGCGGATAAAAAGCAAGACAAGAATTAACCGAAACCGAAGCAACGGCATCCACAACTTATGCGTTAAAAACGAAATTCAATTTGAAATAGAAGCGCTGATGCCGAACCACTGCAAAATAAAAAAACTAAGTTACACAAAGTTTTTATTACTAATAATAAAAATAAGGAAGCAACAAAAAAATTTTAAAAATGCCTCAAAGAAAATGCAAGTAAAATTCCATTGAAATTGAAAAATGAAAGTGAAAAGTGCATTTACTAAATTCGTTCAATAACTGATTTTGTTTTAAAAATCGACTTACACAAATATATATAAATATATTTTCAAATATATTCAAACGCAACCAGTTCCAACACAAAACAAAAAATAATTTGTGTTCCCAGTGCTCAACACCAAAATTCAAAAAATAAACACAAAGTATATAAAAAAATTTCCAAAAAGCGAAGAGAAATTTTGTGCAAAGTAAAAATCGAATAATTATTAAATTGTCGCCACAATCGTCGACAGCAAAGTGTGCAATAAATATAAATACAAATACAACTACATAATAAATATATTAATTACAAAAAAGTTACACATTATTTGATTACAAATACACATCTCAAAAGCCAGCAACAACAGCAACAACAACAACAACAACCACAACCACACAACAGCAACAAATTATTGTACATAAAAAAGTGCTGTAAAAAAAAATCACAAAAAATTGTAACTCGGCTTTTGTTGATTTTTTTCGCTGTGTCATATTTTCTGTTTGCGCGGCACAATTTGCATGTAAAATAATTGAATATATATAAATACTATATATACATATAATTATACATACACACACACCTACAACATAAATGAATACAAATGTATAACTTTTGATTTCCTTTCGGATTTTAAATACGTTGCAACTTTCGTCAACTTTAAATGTACCACGTTTGCAGACATTGTGAACAGAACGCACAAACCCATGTTGGATTATAATTTATACCCTTAAATTTGGGGGCTACAATGCGGCCAGAAATATACAATGTAAGTACGACATTCCTCCACCCTCACGAATATAGTTAGAAATCGGCGAAGTCTATCATTATCGCTCCGAAAGAATCTTTACTAACTGATAACAATTAAACAATATTTGAATGTGGCTCACAATGAATTCTTAGAATTAAAGCACTATTAGCATTTATGACACAATAAATTTGCGACTTGATTATTGATTGAGGATCTGTGATAATATACATATATAGCTATAGATTTCACAGAAAATGTTTATAAAATAAATATAAGCATATCGTTAATGAGTAACAGTAATTGCCTCGATCTATAATTTCAAATTACATTAAAGCTTAACAAATAAAAGCTTCAAGGAAATTGTTGATCTCTAAGAATGCGCAGAGGCAACAACCACGTGCAAAAATAAGTTCGCTACAGAATAATAAAAAATAAAACACGCCATTCCCAAATCCAATCATAACCAAGAAATAATACAAAAGCATTGAAAAAGTGGCAGGGACAGAGGCAGGGGCAGCAAGCTGACCTGTATGGAGTCCCTTTGCCACATATATCCATTTCACACACACAAACACACGCATTGAAATTTCACATTTATCATGCCACAAGTAATTTCACTTAAAAAACAATTTTCAAACACACATTACAAAAAAAAAGCACAATTATTATATGTTGTTTCCAAAACGAGAAATATGAATAAAAAAATAAGAAGAGAAAGAAAAAAAAAGATGAAAACGAGCAGCAAACGTGGCAATAATTGCTATTTATAACTTGTTATGGCACCAACACATGCAAAATGCCAGGACAAATCCTGACTGCCTCTCCTCTTCCTCCTCCTCTTCCTCTCATTCTCTTTCTCCCTCTCTCCCTCTCTCCATCTCTTGTGTGTGTGCACAACCCCTTTTGAAAAGCATTAAAAAGTTTTGCAGCAAAGGGTCGCCGCTTGTGTCGTGTCCTGATCTCAGGACATTTACCTGAGTTATAAATCAATTGCAGCAACTCAAACTCAAAACACAAAACACAAACTCAAACTAAAAACTGAAACTGAAACAGCAACAGCAACCCCTGCGCGTTAAAAAACGCTAGGAAAACGCTCGTCGATTAATCAGCTTAAGAGACATGCAAACACAAATGCGACACTTTCAAAAGAATTTTTGGAATAACCCAATAAAAATGAACGCTTGCCCCATCCCTCCCCCACTCTCAACACTCAACGCGACAAATGCAACACCAAGAATAAAAAAAATAAAAAAATTTCAAAAGTCAAACAAATACTTATTTTGGTGAGTTGAAGTTGGGTGGAATTGATAAGCGCGCTCGCTTCTTTCATAAAAATAGACAATATTTGATTTGAGTTGCGAGTTGCGAGTTTATTTCTTTTATTAATTAAACGGAAATACACACAGATAAAAAAAAGAAGAGCAGACACTTACACATTAACAAAAACAAAAAAAAAAACACTGTTGTAAAACTCGAGGCCAATCTTCAAGTGCTTCAATTCTCTTCTCTCTCTGTTTTTTGTGGTTTTTTTGTTTTTTGTATTTTGATAAGCGAACGTCTTTTTATGGCACTTTAAGCTAATGTAGATCAACGCTTAACTGCGGTAGCAAATTTGTATCTTGGCTGAAAGTTAGGCTGAGATTTTGCACAATTTACTTTAGTTTATTTGACAATTATTTATTTATACAATACAATAAAAGGCTATCTTTTCTAAACAAGATAATTAAAGGCATATTTCTTGGTACACAATAAATATTAAAAATTCTAAGTCACTAAATTCTAAAAGATTTTAAAGATATTATCGTGCATTGGTTTTAATAATTTTATGATTATCAGTTACATATTTTTAATTCTACAAAGTCTAGACATACTTAATTTTCTACTTTTAAGTCTACTTATGTTCCTACATTCTAATCTCATAGACTTCATAATCAAGTCTAAAAATATTGAAATCAACCTTTTACCAGCAAACTTTTTTGTTAAATATATTCACTAGATTAAGGTTGACGCTATTCGTTTGAGACTGGTCAGTCACATAGTCACATGGGGGATACTTAACCGCACTGATTGGGGCTTTATTGAAATTTATGATCCCGATAGTTACGCATTTGGCAAATCACAAAAAACGGCAACTGCAACAATCTCTCTGGCGTAAATACTTTTATGACTTGGCACATATTTGTGCAGCTTTGATTATTGCAATCAATAAACAGATATAAACACAAGCACATACATATATATATATATATATATATATAAATTATCAAAAGAATTTACTATAATTATTACTACAGAGTTCTTGCCTCCTTTTAGAGTCTGACTGCACTTTGTGCGATGTCAGTTTGTCTGTTTGTCATTCTGTCTGACTGGCCATGTGTCAGTTTTGTCAATTTGTCTGTTAATGATGTGCCGATTAGCTAAAAGCTTTATGCTTTAAGGGTGCGGCATTTACTTGAATCAGCGACTAAGTCGAGGGTTTCTCAAACAACAAACAACAGCATTATCATCATCATCATCGTCATTACACTTCATAATGCTAATGTGATAAGTAAAAAAAACAACAAAAATATGCGAGCAATAAGTAAATGACTAAATTACATGTTTTAAACTAACAATGCTTGTTGAATTAACTTTGGCAAATTTGAAATATTCTCGAGTCCCAGTTGAACTTAACCTGGTGCTTAAAAGAATCTCATTCAACAGAACGTCACATAATGTAGATACTCTCTGCCTTTTGGAGCGTTGACTTGCCTAGTTTAAGTGCCTGTTTTGTATATTTATATGTTGGCTGTTGCACATTTAAACGTGTCATGTATAAAATTGGAATAGTCGCACTTAAAAGTGTCCCAGCCAAGATTTATGTAAATCATCTACCTGTCGCCAACTTTCCAGTAATACACAAAAAACACAAGCCAAAACTCGCACAAATATTGCGGGGCGGGCGATTTATAACAGCCACAACAACAACAAGAACAACAGCAACAATCGTCCGGCGGCGCTGCTTGAAAATATAATAAATAAATAAAAATATAGTAGACACACTCAAACACACAACAAAAAATATCACTTCAAGTTTTATAATTAGGTTACGCGCGGGTGGCAAAAAAGCTGAAAAAAAATATATATAAAACTAGGCAGGGGGTAAACAGGAGAAGAAAGGGTTTGAAGGTGGACAGCTTTTTTTTGCGGCATGATTTGTGAGTGAAAACTAACTTTTTTTTAGACATTTTTTTGCGCATATATGTTTGGGATTGTTTGACAAAAAAAAGGCGTGTGTTGCAGGAAGACTTGAATTGAAAGCGGCGAAGCAGTTGGCGATTGTCACGTTTTGCGCACAAATCAAATCGCTGATGCTTCATTTGGCATAAAGCATATTGTATATGGTGTATATAGAGCATATATATGATGACTTCAACGGAACACAAGCCTGTGACTCACTAGTTCATTTGATGGGCTTTGGCTCAGCGCTCTATAAATAAACTCGGCTCGACCCAAAATCATGACTTGGCATTTGTTAATGCCTTTTTTTTCTTTTCTTATGCCTAATACTCTTTATAAATAGCTGCGCTATTTTTGTGCACACTTTTGCAATTATTTAGATCGCAGCCAGCATATGGAAAAATAATATTTGATTTATATGGCATATTATGGTCTTATGGTTTTATGTGTTTATTAATGCCTTAAGCTCAATGTCAATTGGCTTTTGGCTAAACGCATTTGGACTAAGCCCAAAAGTAAACCCCATATAGATAAAGATGCGTAAGCCTATTACAACTTGAGCGGTTCGCAATTCAAAACAAACTGATTTCCCTACTCTGCGATGGGTGTTGGTGGGGGGAGGTCGGGGAAGTTGTTGGTAGCGCCGTTTTTTGTTTTTCTTTTTTCTTTTATCTTATCTAAAACACGTTCAAGAAATATACTATAGAAATCGACAGTATTACTACACGCTGCTGGCATACATCGTTACTAACAGCAACAATAAATAAATAATAATAATAACAAAAGCGCCAAAAATCCACAATAAAAATATATATATTCTTGTTCTATCTTGTTGTATTTTTAACAAGAAATAAAGTCACGGCCCTCAAGTATTTATTTGTTTGTTTTGATTGCTAAAACATTGGACAGTTGTCGCTCTATATATATACTATATATATATATATATATATATATATATATATATAAGATATTTATGTCTGTGCTCAGACGTTTGTTTGCAGTTGGCTTAGTGGCTAGAAATTTACTACGATTGGTTTGATTTTTACTACGCTGTGGGTGGTTTTGCTTGATTAATGCGACTGCGCTGCTGATAAAAACAATTGAAATATTTAAACTGTGCGACAGAGACAGCTAGCTAATGCGCTTGTAACGCTAGAGAGACAGAGAGAGAGACACAGAGAGAGAGAGAAAAGCAGATAAATCCAAGCCAAAGTCGAAATACGTGGCTCTCTACAATTGTTCAATATATGCAAATATTTGCATTACAAATTACCAAGTCGAGGGCTAAAATACCTTTATAGTCCCCTCTGCCCCCTCCTCGCTCTGGCTGTCTATCTCTACGTCTCTGGCGCAGACAGCTGCATAGGGCCAAAAGCGAGTTGCTGTTGTTGTTGCAGTTGTTGTTGCTGCTGCACCTGACCTACAATGTGCAGCGTTCGTTGTTGCTGCTGCTGCTGCTGCTGCTGTTGTTGTCTCTTCTCTGTTGTGTTAAACAACAAACACACCCACCTTATACACACACACACACAGAGACAGTTGTGTGTGCATGATCACAAGATCGGTTCGCTTTGTTGGATTGCAAAATCAAGCAGCGCTAAACAACAAATAAGTGTTTAACATTTTTGGTTGAAAATTAGAAAGTTATGTGCTTCTTTTCATTCATATATACATACATATATATATATATATATATATATATATATATATATATATATATAGATGAATGGCTTTTCTAAAGAAACAAAATGATTAAGCAACTTAATTGAACTCTTTTTCGTCATATATTTTTATTTTTATAA